GGAGGAGGAGGCGGGGGAGTGGGGGGGGGGCAGATGAAGAGTAGCGCGAGGAGGAGTGCACGCGTACGGAGTCGAGCGGCTCGGCCCGTCCCTCGCGCCCTGTCGCCCGCGGTTGCCTCGACGACGTAGAAGTCGAGGCTGCACAAGGGGTTGATCTCCACCTCTCGTGGTAGCGGTGGAGACGGGAAGAGGGGGGGCCAGAAAATACGAGGGGAGTGCTCGCCATCGCTCGGACGTCCATTCCCTGTGCATGTTTCGGCTTCGTGCGTTTTTGAGGTTGTCGTTTCGTCTGCTTCCGCAGGGTGAACAACAGAACGCTCCTCGATGGTCCTGGCCGAGTAACGTGCACACGTCCGAGCGATGCCAAGAGTGCAAGTACAATCGAGAAATGGCCACGAACACGCGAGTCAAGTCCGCGGGCCCCTGCGCCGAGGCCCCCGGGCCCCCACGAGCTGAGATGCCCCACGCGAAGAACAGCCTCTCAAGGTACGGCCAACATTTTAAGCAAGGATGCCATTGCTGAGGAACGCGGAGGCTCGAATCGGCAGAGTTCCTGAATGCTTGAAACGGATGGCCGAGGCCCTGTACCACAAGGCTTGTGCCCATCACGCCTTCAAGAGTTCTCCCGGACCCTGAACTGCGCCCGCCAGTCCTTCAAGTGCAAGGAATGTCCGAGGCTCCCGCCAGGAAGCACAGATTCCTTGTAGAACGCCTCCACCGCAGATTATCGAAGCCTGCGAACAAAAACAGATGCCCCCCTCCAGCGTTGGGATTGTGCTCCCAGGTCCCAGGTCGCGCATCGCGCCCCCGCGATGCGCGGCCATCTTCGCGCCCTCGAGAGGCCGCCCTGGATATGGGCGCTCGTCTGCCTCGGGCCGCAGCATCAGAAGCTCGACTCCCTTCGCGCCCCTGCGGGTGATGTAGCGTGTGCCAACATTCGTGCCCGCCGTGGGGCAGCGGGCTCGGGAGGCGGCAGGGACTCGGGATCCCGACTGCCTCCCAGAGCCCACAGCCAGGCGGAGGGCTCGACTGCTTCGGACGCCCGAAATGTGTACGATGATGCTGGGTACAATGCTCAGTGACACATGCTGTCCAAAACCGACAGAAGCCGCTGTTGAGCAGGCGTTTCTTTTTGTTTTTGTTTTTTTCTTTGTCTCCAGAGAACAACATCCGCGGAAACGCGGACAGCGAGACCTTTTCAAAATGACGAGAGACTGCTGTTGGGCACTGCCCTCCCAACTGCGGTGGTGGCCGCCCGCACGGCAACGGCAACGCACGGGGGCTCTGGGGGCCCCGTTCCTGGCGATGGACAATTCCCTCCGCAATCCGTGCCGCATTCTGCTGGGGGAGGGGGTGGAAAGAAGGAGGGGGGAGGGGGAAGAGACAACGTTAGAGAATCGATGCTTTCTAGCGTGCTGGTTCCTTTCTGGGCGTCCGCGGGCGTTCTCGTCGCCGCGGCTGAATTTCCTTCAGAATTCTGGTCACAACGCGCCCCAGATGTCCTGGGTGCGACTGTTTAGGATCTGGAGAGGGCGAGGGGGGAAGAACGGGCGTGGTTGGGAAATGGGGGGATGGCAAAGGGGATGCTGGGGTTCGGGGACCTTCTGACCCGAGTCAATCCAAACCTGGCTCAATGAAGCCTTGCAGAATCCTGCAAGATCCTGCGCTGAAGCCCGGGTCAACGCGAAAGATCCTGCAGGATCCTGCACCCAAACCCGGGTCAATGCGACCCTGGCCCTGCAAGATCCTGCAAGATCGGGCGCTCTGGCTGACCCCCGTTTGGATTGATCACTGTTTCTTGAACTTCGAGGGGTGAAGGGGGGACTGTGCCGGCAACGAGCGTCGCAGCAAGCGCCAAATTATCGCTTCCAACCACACCCAATTTACATATAAGTATTCCCGATCCGCCCACTCACACCGGGTTGCACCTAGTTGCCCCCAGTTGCACCTTGTGATCCCCAGCTGCAATTAGTTTCGCATTATTCCATCGACTTGCCGAAATGGTAATAGAGACGAAGGGAGGGGGGGGCACAAGGAACACATGGAAAAGGATGGAGGGGGAGAGGTCGGATGGAAGCAGGGAGAGGATTGGGAAAGGAAATGGAGGGGGATGGATGGGAGAAAAGGACACGGATGATGAGAAGGGGGCCGCGAGGGGCAAGAGGGAGGATGGGGAGGCCATAGAGGCAGGAGCACGTGGGAGAAACAGAAGCGCCATGAATTCGACGACGACGACGACGGAACACGACGACGACGGCGGCGACGACGATCGACGACGATGCCCGACGAGGGACTGCGTCGGCGCCGTTCGTGGCGATCAACGATCGACGACGACGACCGACGACGGTCGACGAGAACAACGCCGACTGACAGCGCCGACGGCGTTTGAGCGGCGGCGGCTTCCGGGAATGGGCGGCGGGGCGCGCGCGCGCGCGGGAGCGGCGCCCGCCAGGCCGTCGGAGGCGCCCCCGCGGGCCACGTAGAGACGCTTCGGGCCGACCTGGGGCGAGGGGGAGGGGGAGGGGGAGGAGGAATTGGAGGAGGAGGAGGAGGAAGAGGAGGAGGAAGAGGAGGAGGAGGAGGAGGAGGAGGAGGAGCAGGAGGAGGAGGAGCAGGAGGAGGAGGGGGGGGGGAGGAGGAGGGAGAAGCTAGAAAGAGAGGGAGGAGAAGGAGGATCCGTGGAGCCATGGGGAGCAGAGAATCGAACCCGCACGAGCGGACCGCCGCCCACACGAGAGTGCTGCCTCATCGCAGTGCGGGCCGCCCTCCGCTCCCACGCGGGGAGACCTCCCGCCTCACGCGCAGGGGAGGCCGCTGCCTCATCGGCGAGGAGCTCACGCAATGCGGTCGAAGTACAGGCCAGCGTCTTGTCGCCCCGTGACTCGCTGCTTGTGCGTGGCGGCGATGGTGCGTAGGGGGACGGTCGGTTCACCTCCTCACTGTGAGGTCCTTCTCGACTAGCAGCCCTTCCAAAACATATGATCCGTGCAACTGGTTTGGAACCCGAGGGAGGGTAGGCACGACGGCCCCATAGAAATTATGGGCCACACGGCCCCGCCACTCCACCAAATGCACGATCCCCGCGCCTGGATGCTCAAGGTCGCTTCCGCGTCGCGGGCGTAGCTGAACGCCACGGCCCCTGGCAAGGTGCCGCGGACTGGCATGCTGACGCCACGCTGTGAAGCGCACGTGGCATTGTCAACGTCCCCGCGGCGCGGGACCGAGCACCAAGATACGGTGCCCAGCAAACCAGTAACTGCCCCCTCTCTGCGGGGGGAAGGAGGAGGAGGATGAAGGAGGGGGGAGGAGGAGAGGGAGAAAGGAGAGGAGAAAGAGACGGATGAGGAGGGTGAGGACTAGGAGTAGGGGGGTAGGAGAAGGAGGATGCTGAGAAAGAGGTGGAGGGGCAGGAGGAGGAGGATTAGGAGGAGGAAGAGGAGTATGAGGAAGAGGAAGATGAGGAGGATGAGGAGGTGGAAGACGCAGAACATTATGATGATGAGGAGGTGGACGACGAGGAGGAGGAGAAGGTTTTGGCCGAGGTGCCAACTGGTGGCAGTAACTCTGGCAACGAACCTCAGGCGGGTCACGACGGCGACTACCATGCATTCCCTTGTTTATCTCTCGCACCTGCATATCACACCATACTAGATCTCTCGTCTGCAACTCGCATCTGCTGATACATTTCGGTGCAGCAACACGGCGTGCAATAAAGAACCGACCTGGCATTGACGGGCTCGCAGTGAAAGGCACCAGGCACACATATCACTCCCGAGGGGCAACTCATCAGCAGCAGCATCAGCAGAGCCCAGACTCAGCTTGCTAGACATCACAGTTATGTAATCATGCCCTGGACTTGCATTTGAGGACACAAGCTTCCAAACAAGTATTGGCACTGCTTCTGTGGGCCGGCAAATCAAATTCGTAAAGGGTCATATAGCTCGCACAATGTCTTGTGCCTTTACCCAACGTGGGTCAGCAGGAAATTGGCAAGATCACGCCACCGAATTCATCTCTTGTTCAGAACATGCCACATCTTCAGATCCCCCTCCTGTCGACGAAGCCAAACACTGTGAATGTGCGAAACAAACGTGGCTGAACACAAACTTTCGAGGCAACCTTATCGTAGCGGCAAAGAAGACAGGACTGGAAAGCGAACCATCAAATATAAGGATACGCGTGCTCAACCAGTGTCTTGCTCTAGTTAAACCTCTTGGCTAGCATATTCTTGATTCGCAAATGCTCAAGATCAAGTTAGGGGGGAACTCAGCAGCGCGAGGAATCGTAGCAGGGAGTTGCAGGAGCAGGAAAGTGAGATGGCCAGACAAGTCTATGGCTTGGATGTGTGCGTTGCTCAGTTGGAGGAGGCGAAGATGCAAGAGGATGGGGGCGTGGCTATGTCATCCACATCCTCTGCTTCAGCAGCATCAGCAGCAGCAGCAGCGCGCCCCAGAACAATTCCAGGATTGAACAGATGCTGGAAGCCTCTCTTGCTAGTCAGGACAGGGTTGGCAGCGAATTAGCAGTTCTCAAGCTAATGAGGGACCAGAACATGCGACCCCCCCTTCCTCGCCCACTACCATCAAGGGGCAGCGGCAGTTGCGCGCCTATGGATTTTGGACCAGGCCAGCGAACCGCATATCTGCACCAACTGCTGCACCCGTAGATCGCACCGGTATGGTGGTAACAACAACGGATGCAACAGACGCAACTGCTCTCGTGGGAGATATCACCCCAAGGGTGCTTTTTCTCCCAGCGCCCCCGTTTCGGCGCCGACGGCGGGGGGCACGGCCCAGGCAACGGCGTCGACGCGGCAGGGGCCGACGCGTATCGCAGCTGCATCCAGACCCGCGCAGATCGCTCCCATTCAGCTAGCTCAACCAGGGCAATCGTCCAATATCGCCAGCGGGGGAAACGCCAGAGAGGCCGGACACATGCCAGTGCATCGGGGGCGACTCGCAAGATCTGTTAGTCAGGGTATCACGTGGGGAGGGCATGATGTCCATTGGCTGGGTGACGCATGTCGTGAACACGGGGGCACGTTTGAATGTCAACTTGGACTGGGTCATACTTTATTGTAGCGGCGCGCACCTGGTTTGCATGTTAGAGTTGACTCTACAGCTGCTCTCAGGCGATGCGCATCCTCATGCGCGACTTGCCTTGTAGTTTTATCTTGACCACAACGCATTAGATGAGCCTCTGCACGCACGTGTATAAATTGACATATTCTTCGCTGGATCGTCAGTTTCTCCTGTGGGCGCACCATGGGCAGCAGTCGTTGCATTTCATTTTTCACGCGGCTGAAGAACCATGGGGAAACTCAGACACAATGCGTATCGTATTATACCACCGACGAGCTGGCCAGCCGACGCGCTGCCCACCTGCGCGTGTTCTCCTGGTTGGTGAGGGCCTGTGCGCGGCGCTCGTTCGCCGCCTGAGCCCCCATTTCCAGGGCGCGAGCCGTGTTGCTGGTTGGCGCGCCCAGGCGGCGAAAATCGGCCTCCGTCATGCGATAATTGCGCGTCCCAAACAACGCCACGCCCACCGCGTTGCCCATGCACGCCTGCCCCTGCGACTTCCTCGGCGCGCGAGCGAGCCGGGGCCTGGTCGCGTCGCCCCGCCCTTTTCTCGGCGCGTCAGTAGATCTCGATGTTCGCGTTATCGCTCCAGTCGCAGCGGCCCCCGAGATGTCGAGCGCGCGGGGGCATGCGGCCAGTCCCAGCAGCAAGATCGGCCTTGAACTTGCGATTCTCCTGTGTGCGCAGCTCCGTGACTGGCTCGCGCTCGTTGACGTTCTGTTTGCGGCCTCCCGCCTGCAGCTCGGCGCCCGGGCTGTCCAGGGTCTTCTTGACGATCGCGCGCGCCTCCATCGCCAGCCCCGTCCTCGCCGCGCGCCGCTTCAAGGCGCTCGGGGCATCGTCGAACTGCGCTGCGGCGCAGCGGGCGGGCAGCTCCAGGATCCCTGTCTTGAAATCGAGCTGCGAATCCTGGTGCGCGCGCTGATCGCGCTGGCGCTGGGCGGGCCCTTTGAAGGCCTCCGCGAACCGCTCGGGCGCCTCGCGCGCGCCCGTGGGACCCCCGCGGCTCGCAGCAACATGCTGGCCCCCACCGCAGGCCCCCCCCCCCGTTCGACGACGAAGTGATGGGCGCGATCGCGTGCGAGCCCCTGACCCACTGCCGCCGCCAGCTCCCGCGCCGCCTTGTCGGGCCAGTCCAGCGGCGTGCAGGTGAAAGGGTTCGACGTGTCCAGCAGCCCGAAAACGCCCCTCTCGCCGACCTCGGCTCAGCGCGAGACCGACGCATCTTGCGATTGGCATCGCGCCCTCCCACCGCCGATGTGACGGGTGGGGTCGACGCCAAATTCGCGCTCAGGGCGCCGCGGCTTCTGTGCAAGGCCCCAGAGAAGAACTTCCAGAACGTGCGGGGTCGAGGCCCCCCTTCCCGCCGCGCTTGTCGAGGCGGTGTCCGCGGGGCCACTGCGCGGCAGCGGGCGCGCGAGTAGCTCGGCGAGCGTACAGCGATGCCTAATCTCCTCGCGGCATCTCTGGCACTTGCGCGCAGCCGCCTCGGGGTCAGCCGCCGCCGGCCCGCGCTGGGGCCGTCGCGGTGTCGAGCGGCGTCCAGGCTCCGCGCAGCGCAGCAGCGTCCCCGCGGGCGCACTCCAGAGCGCCTCTGGGAAAACGACGGACCCGTACCATCGACAGTGCCACCGATCGTCACCAGAAGCGTGTGGCTGTGAGTTTGGATTCGTGGTTGCGTGCTGTGTTGTGGAATTTGCCGCCGAATCCTCGATTCGTGAACCCTTACCCGGTTTTCCAGTCGCGCCCAGCACGAGGTCGTCAACGTACACTGCCATGATGCACGTGCCGCACGGGGATATCCACAAGGACTTCTCTCCCTCGACGCTCTTCCAGCCAGCGTTCCGGAGGGCGTGCGCGAAGTGCGCGTCCCAATCGCCTACAGAGCGCGGGTGCCGCTCTTGCGCATGGTCGAGCCAGACTTCTTGCAGTCGCGTCCAGCAAACTGTGGGGCAATCGCGTCTATCTTGACGGAGCGGCGCCATCTCTGCGCGTCGTGCCGCCAGTGCGTCGCGACGGACAAGGGTGGCAGACGGGCCGCCCTCCTCGCTCGGCCTCGCCGCGTGCGCCGCCGCTGCCGACGCGGGCATGCGAGACTCAGGCGTCGCGCAGTGCTCTCGCCGCCTCGACCCCCCCGAGCCCGTTCAACCAGCGAGAACGCCAGCCGGCGATGTTCGACGGAGCGCCCGCGTCGCACAGCATCCAGCAAGTCCGCCTCAGGCGAGGCGCGGCGGTCGGCCCGTCGCTGATGAGCCCGGCGTCGAGGCTGCTCCGTCAGTTCCTTCTGCCTGTCCAGTTCGTCGGGGGTCTGCTCGACGTTTGCCGTGGCCGACGACCGAGGCGACAATTCGGCGACCCTCTCCCTCTCCCGCGCGCGCAGCGCCGCTGAGCGGCGCCTCTCCGTCCGCGGGCCTCGCCTCCG